AGATTCAATCCATNTCATNTTTTTCTATAGACATGTCNTAATTTTTTCATGANAAGTCATAGTTTTGAGCCAATAAAATTAAAACAAATAATCATTTTCACTAATTGTACTTCTCTTTTAATAGGAAGGGGATTTAATTATATCACAATATCACATTAAAATATTTATAATATATCATTTAGAAATTCACAAGAGTTTCTAACCATTAAAGATTCTCTTAGCGTTTTATTATATCAACATTTACGATTTTATATATTCAAGAATGCAAAGCCATATAATTCACGGAAAATAATTTGGGATGATGTGGATGAAACAAGTACTTCATGATGAAGTTGATCTCTCTGCCCCATAAGTAGCTTTCTCAAGACTTAGTTTATGTTATGGATATAGTTCGACCGTTCGAGTAGTTAGTCACATGATATAGTACAAATAATAACTCTGAATTGGAGTCTATTAATGCACATCAGTTGTATCTTTGAAATGCAATTTGTGTAGTGCTCAATTTCAAGAGAACTAACCGCGTCTAACAACTGATGAATTACATCGTTATCAAGTCGCTTTACCATTCATTTGTATGGCTATGATTAATGTAATGCACAACGAGAGTGGCCACCGGAAAAAATATCAAATCAAGAGGCACGACTTTGCTGAATCCACCAAACGGTACCATTCTTTGCTTTACAGATGGAGCTTGGTCGGAGGACAAACGATTGGCAGGACTAGGCTGGATTTTCCAAAAGCCAAACCAGAGCATTTCAACCTACACTACCATTGACCAAGGGTCTCAAGCAAAAACTTTTGTCGCCTCTCCAATAATGGCATAAACATTAATAATGGCCGAAACATTGGCACTGCGTCTTGCTCTTCTCAAAGCAAAGGACAAAATGATTACGAAACTAAGAGTGCGCTCGAATTCGTTGACGTTGATTGGAGCGGTTAACTCACACAACCAAATCAAAGAAATCGCCGGAATCCTTCAAGATATACAAAACCTTATTCCTACCTTTGTTTTCATCGATTTTCATTAGGTTCCTTGCGGCCAAAATACGTTAGCCGCCGAACTTGCAAAACTTGTTGTAAGAAATTGGTCTATTGTAACAACGACGTGAGTATGGAATGAAAGAAAAATTGACATTCGAAAAGAAAAAAAGATTAAGGTAATGCACCACTACTAGATGGGTTGTCATTGGGGATATTATTAGAGTAGGGATTTGACTCTTATCTAAACCTTTCAAAAGATTTTAATGATATATCAGAGATATCATGAGTAATTTAGAGGGCATAAGGTATACTAATATGGTTTTTGAACTTTTGACTTATGGACCTCCACTGCAAATCATCGATTCATCATTCATGCGCGCAAACTTTTGTTAATTTTTCTAATATAATTTTTCGCAAAATGGTTTCAGCTTTCAAGTTGGTTTCAATTCCAACGGAACCAGAAAATTTGTAGAAAAAATAAATAATCCCAAAGCAGCCACCAATGAATCATAGGGACATAATTATCGGTTTGACGAAGCTCTTTTTGCGGAGACTTTCAATCATTTCACAAAAATTCAAGACCGACTATCACCCGCTTCATTTTTACTACTTTTTTTTTTGTCACAACAATTTTTAGTATACTTTTCATGGAATTATGGAGTTTCAATTAATACGACCAAGATAACAAACTGATTATATAAGATTCATAACCAAATCTAAACCGAACAACTATCTGACATGATGAGATCTAGGATAGATTTGTATATAGGCAAATTAATTTCAAAAATAATATGAAAAAATCATGTGGAGGCCGTACATCTAGCAATAATTGGAAAAAAGGGTCAGCAGAATTATAAATGTGCAGGTCTTAATTTCCTGACGAATGTACAACCAGTGGTCCTATATGACACTTCTACTAGGGAATGAAATCATTTCGACAACGAAATTTCATTGACACACTCGTTGGACACAATTTATAACTTTTTCTTTTTAGTGTTTTTTAATAACAATTCAATTAGTTGTGTCCGGGTAAAAAAGCAATAAGAGATCAGTTAATTAACCAAATACTATGTATACATACAAAAAAAAAAAACTCACCACAAAACTCTGCCAAAAAAATTGAACAAAAAAGGAAGAAATACAAAGAGCATTCCTAACTAGGGAAAAAATAATTAAAAAGGAAAATAAAAGAAAATGGAAACAAAGAAAGAAGCTATAGAAAGATTTACAAAGTGGGTTATAAGCATGCAAAGAGAGAGGGTCCCCTCCTCTCCTTTGGGCAGATGATCATCAATTCCCACCACAATCACTCTCACTATATTTCCTTTTCAATTCTTTCTTTCTTTTCCCCTCAATTTGCATTGCAGCTGGAGATAAGTCTTAATTTACATCATTCCCCAATTCTCCATTTGAAACCAAAAACCATCGATTTCGATCGCTACCCTCGCCTTGCGAGTTATGCTTTCTCTCGATAGAAAACTTAACTTCTCATCATCATCAACCCTCTAGTCTATTGTTGGCTTGATCAGTTTCTCAAGGTGTTGATGACATACCTATGTTTCTGTTCATCTTCCCATATATCTTGAGCTATTCTCTTTGCATCTATTGATGCTCCGAAAATCCCACGTTTTGTGAATCCAACCGCGTATAGTCCACATTCCCCTCTCCATCCACCCGGAAAGTCTTGTTTTGGGAATCCATCTTTCTTACTAAACATTTTATTCTCCTGAAAGAAATTGTTTTCCAAAACTCATTTAATACCAACTTCTTAATGAATAGTATTATTTATTTATATTCACAAGAAAAATGACAACAAATGAGATATAATTAATGAAAGATTTAATTCTTTTGTTGAAGAAGGTAGACAAAGGTATAATAACTAATATTATCATTATTGACTACCTTTAGCCAAGAGGGTACGTTGCTTTTGTAGCCAGTTGCCAATATTATGGCGTCAAATCTCTCCGTTTTCCCGTTATCGAACTCAACTTCATGTCGTTTTAACCTTCTAATCCCGGAACACACCTTTTTACCAATACCAAATCAAAGATCACAATCAGTACTACGTAAATTAAACAAGTAAAAAGTATATACAGTATGTGTCATATTTGATTAAAGATATAAGGTACCTTGATGTCTCCGGTTTTGATCTTTGCAAGCGTACCAACGTCGAGAACCGGAGTTTTACCAGAGAGATTTTTGAGCTCTAGTGGGCCTAACCGGGGCCGGTTAAGACCTAATTTGGTGGTATCCCCGAGGATGAACCGGGAAACAACCAAGAGGAAACGGTCAACGAGCCGGATGGGCAGCCATTTGAGTAACAACATGGACAGCCCAAAAGTTGAAGTACCCAACATCTCTCGTGGTAGGACGTGCACCTTAACCATTAAAAAAAAAAAACATAATTAGTAAATATTGCATCTATATAATTCGAATGAAAATCATAGTATTATATTTACTAGTACTAGTTTTTTAAAAATATATCAAGAGACCATGATTTTTTGTGAGAATGTTTGCGCGTGCTTGTGTCAATCCCGATAAAGTTGTTGTTCTCATAGTTTTACTCACTGAAAATATTTTTAAAATAATATCTTCGTATTAAAGAAATTAGGTGAACCTCTTTATTCTTAAGAAAATATATTAACAAATTGTTGGAACTTGAAGTCACAAGGGCCAAAACAGAATAAAATCTTAAATTAGGATAATACCAGCCTTTGTATTTTCCTTTTAATTTTCGAAATAGATTACCAATATGAATATCAAACAAAAAAGCAAAAGAGATAATCATACGTTTTTCCCCCAAAATTTTATTGAAAAGACGTACTTTTGAAAACTATATTTAAAAACTTACTTTTAAATTGAAATAATTATTTAGAATTAGTTTGTATAAATTTTGTCTCTTTAAGAAACTACTAAGAGGAAATATAAATATTTTATGAAGTACTTATTGTTAATAAAAAAATTTATTTAGTGAATGAGATGAGTAAAAAATCTACCATTTTTCTTCAAAATAATGATGTTTAAGACTGTATCATAAGAGCTCATTTAATCAGTTTAAAAAAATATATAACAAAAATCTTATTTTCTAAAACTCATTTAACTAGAAGATCTCCAAGCATATTCATAGAACAGAATAATCCTCTAGTACAATTTAAATCAAAAGAGTCTAATATATTTTTTGATATGAAGAATCTATTATATTGATATAGGATGATCCTGGAAATTCTAGAAAATTTGATTTTTCTTTTTAAAAATAGCAAAACTTTGCAAACAAAGTAGGTAATACATATCAGAAGATCGACTTGAATGAAAACAAAACTTTTGATGTGATTTTGTTTTTAGCATAGAAGAACTCTACAAAACACGAAAGAGCCAAAAATATCGAAAACGCATAAGAAAAGTTTAATTTAATCTCCACAATACTTTTCCTTTT